TTTATAGGAAGAAGAGATGCCAGCTTTCAAAAGAGTGAGAAACTCTTTCTCATTATCCAAACCTTAAAGTATAGTGTTTGATCATTATCACCAAGAGTCTTGCTATTCATCCTAACATATATCTCTTTGACTAAGACATTAAAAATCTTTTGCTGTAAGTGGTCCCGTGTTTTCAATGGAAACCACATAATAAAAACTAGGGAATTGGTTTGAAAAATTTTAGTACCTATGTTGCCACTTGACAGATAATAAAAAGTTGAAAGCAATACACTATTCCAAGTCCCTAGATTTAGAAACAAAGTAAGGCCTAATTATTAGACTGGCATTGAGGGACCACCTACCAATCATATACTTACTAGGTGTAACTGGTGAATTTTGAGCATGTTATTTTGACTTTCAACACATCCAAATCTGCAAAACTAATGTAGGTAGTGACAAAGGTATAGAGAGATAAATTTTCCTAATTGTTATGTCTTTGTTTCCATTAGGAAGCCTTAACTGACCCTTCAGGAAGGCATTTTATAGCTATTTATCCTTACCTGTATCTTTTTCTTTTTGGTATGGAAGTTAATACTGGCCCAAATTTGATTTAGGATTAAAAACCATGCAAAAGTTATGTATCAAAAAAATAATGTTTTACTTTAGCCAATGTAGATGTCCTAGAAAGATTCCATTTACACTTTGTTGATCACGTAGATCCTTTCCCCGCCTCACTTCTCCAATCTTCTCCTCCAAGGAAAAGATACTGCAAACCTGATGTGAGCCCCACCCCCACCTCACAGAGTCTTTATTCTTCAAGAGACGGGCTTAGTCTGGGTATCTGAAGCTTTACCAAGAACCATATCAATTAACTGCTCTGTCTCATTTGCAAATACACAGCTTCAAAATGCAAATTCATCTAAGATAAAGAGAACAACGAGTTCTTAAGTGTCTGTCATTTAAAACCGTACATTACAACATAGCTTATACTATGACTTCAACGATACTTTTAAATGGCTTTGTACTATAATAGCAACAATACTTGTTTTATATACATTAGGAAAACAAGGATAATCTATACGGGAGACTGTAATGTATTCAGTCTGAAGATACTGGCTGATACTGGTGCTGATCTGTACACCCGGGCAAACACTCAGCAGTTCAGACCTTGGGAGCCAGCAATCCTTCTTTCATCCTAAAAGATGGGATCCTGTCACAGTGGGGGAAGCAAGATGACTGTGTCCACCCACGTCCTGGAACAACCCATGCCTAAAAGTCATTTTTTCCCACTACTAATTGGGTGGGAATGCTGATAATTGTGGTATTTTATGCTTACACACATTTGCATGCATATGAAGAAAATAACCTACTGCAAGTCTCACTTTCTCAAGCAGGCGAAGTTGATACAGTAAGTTGTTGCTGTACTCAAAAGTCAAATCCATCAGCCAATTACTTGAGGTCCCTGCCTTGACAAAACAACATAACTTTACAGTAAGTTCTCCTGAACTATTTTTACACAAATATGCTGTCTTAATCATATTCTTTGAAGGCTTAGTTTCACTGTCACTTCCAAGATTAAGCCAGTCCCCACTTTTCCCAGGCAGAGTCATCTGTCTGTTGTCACACGGCACTTTGTTTGCATCTATTCTTGTCAGCATTTCCACTGTGTTGTAACTGGTCTGTCTCCCCACACTCCTAGTACAGAATTGAAACTTATTTTCAGGGTTTACTAATTGAATATATCTCTCTGCATTTGGAAAAACAGCTTTGGGCACAGAGAATTAAGTTCACATTTTAACATTCCCAAGATTATCTTTGCATCCACATAGATTTCATCAGTGTCAGGAGGCTAAAGAGTAGACCTGAGGAAGAGAGTTATCATACTGGCTAAAAAGTAAAGAGAAAAGGAAGGAAGGACGGGTGGGAGGGAGGGAGAATGGAAGAGGAGAGACAAACTTGCTGGAGCTCAGAAGAGCCACCTGAGCGTAGGGCAAAGACCAACAAGGCTCGTGCCCACCTGAGAAAAGAACTGTAGAGGCGTGGTTCTGCTTGAGGTTCTCCTGGAAAGACTGGCGCACAGAATCTAAGGTCTGCAAGAATCCAAGGTCTGTGCATTCAAGACATCATGGTTCTCAAAGAGCATTAAATGAGCAGTGAAATGAAATGGACACAGAATAAACAATGGGTACTTAAAGAACAAGTAGAAACAGTCTGTGATGGAGGAGCCTGAAAATAATGGCCTCATTTGTCCAATAAGAACAGTGTGCTGTGTATACTTTAAATGTCTTTGTTCTACATTTTAGTACAAATTTACTTACTTACTAAAGGTTCTTTAATCAAATTGAATGTTATATTTGTTTTTCAAGAATTATTTTTAAAAAACAAAATTTTGGGGTGATGGATCCCTGAAAATTCTTAGTGGTCCAAACCTGGGAGACCTTCACCTGTGACTCGACCAGAAGCTCCAGCTCACCAGGTGACAGTGAACAGAAGAGATGGGCAAACCAAAAACATCAGGAGACTTGGCACTGAATACCAGAGGTTGCTAATAGCACAAAGAGAACAAAATAGACGTTCAGTCCCGGTGGAAGAAAACAGTATGAAACAGTCTTGACAAAAACAAACAAACAAACAAAACCTGAATCTAGCCAAGCCTTAAGATGTCATTTCCAATTTTCAGGATATACAGGAATGAGGCAGGAGTAAGAGGAATATGTTACACCGAAGCCACAGGGATGCAACCAGTAAGACCCAGACTGAAGAAAACTGAAAAGAAAGATGTTCCTTCAGTAAATAAGCTCCAAGGAGGAAAAAAAAAGAGAAGTTGAGGTGGATCCTACTGATTTTTTTTAAGGCTATTGCACCTTGTGGATCTTACCTGAATCCCGATTCACATAATCTGTTTAGAGAAAGTTTGACATTCATGAGACCATTGGTGATTTGAATACTTATTAGACATTAGATGACGTTATAGGACTATTTTGATATCTTAGGTGTGGGAATGGTCTTGTTTAAAAAAGACACAAATGAACTTATTTACAGAATAGAAACAGACTCAAAGACATAGAAAACAAAACTGTGGTTACCGGGAGGGAAGGGATAAATTGGGAGTTTGAGATTTGTAGATACTAACTACTGTATATAAAATAGATAAACACTATGTTCATACTGTACAGCACAGGGAACTCTATTCAATATCTTGTAGTAACCTATAATGAAAAAGATATGAAAAGAATATACATATGTATATGTATCACTAAAACATTATGCTGTACACCAGAAATTGATACAACATTGCAAACTGATTATACAACCAAAAAATTTTAAATTTTTTTAAATTAAAAAAAAAAGAATCTTCATCTTTTAGAGATACATACTGAAACATTTAGAGATGAGATGATACGGTTTCTAGCACTTGTTTCCAATAATATTGGGGAGAGGGCGTTTGTAACAAATTGGCCATGAGTTGATAACTGCTGAACATGATGAAAGTGTTCATTACCCAGTCTTCCTACTTTAGTATATGTTTGAAATTCTCCATAAAAACAAACAAAAACTAAAAACAGTCTGAGAACATGATATATCACTTCTCTCATTAAAAACATTTGTTTTTATCATGTCTCACTTTTCAGGATGGAGTAAGTCACTTAAAACTGATTTCAAGAGCACTGATCCAACTTGATCTTGGCCGAATGGAGTTGCAGAAGGAGCCCACCCTCTGTCTCCCCCTATTTGCAGGCAGGATCTGGGTGGCTAACACCCCGCCTGCGGTGTGGGAAGCAAGCTGATCTTCTCAGCCCACACTGTGGGCTGTTCTTCGCATTTGCTTCCCCTGAATCAAAGAGCACTGCTGTCCCAGCCCATTCAACAGGGATTTTCTCCTGTCGGGAAGAAACCTGCAGGGGTTTCAAGTGTTTCCACAGGAAAAGAGAAAGGTCCCTGTTTGTGCTTCTCACACCTTGGGACGTTCCAAACTCTCCCTCCCTCCCTTAGGAAAATACAAACTCTAAAAGCTCTTTGTGCCCAGAAAAAGGCCACTGACGTCGACCTCAATTTCCAAACAATTTCAGCGCATACCAGCTGCATTTTCACTTCATAATCTCTTCTCACTGGGCCTCTCTGTCATCTGTAAGAGTAGAGACGGCCATACACGACAGGACTCGGCAGTTAGGCAGGTCCAGGGAGAGTCCTGTGTATCAAAAGGTGTTTTATTTGTGGGATACAAGGGGCTCATTTAATAAATCACTTTCTACTTCTGAGTTTTTAGTGGCCTAAAAATATCCCCAGTGCGCTCCCCATAGACTGGACTTCACTAATCTCAAATGATCCCAATGATTACTGCCCTCAGAGAGATTTCAATAAATGCGGCACCCAGCAATGTCACTAGAGTTAACGTGAGCTTATCCGATTTGTTAAATATGTCACCAACCTTGCTGATGGAGGTGCTATTTTAATGTCTTTTAATTATTAGATAATAGTTGGACACAGTAGTTCAGCTGCGGGATCTGAGAGATGTGACTTTGACTCCTACGTCCCTCATTGGATCCTACTTAACCTCTCTAAGCTTCAGTTCACTTTCAGGTGACATAAGGATATATAATGCCAACCTCCCTCATAGAACTGGAAGATGAATGACACCGATTACCCAATCATTGATAAATCATTACTACTATTTAAATTCCTTTTCATAACATTATTATTCAAGTTAGGTAGGATTAAAATGTGTAACCTCCTTCATAATGCTCAGGAGCTGAAACTTAATTCCATCTCTTTCTGGGGCAACACACGCTCCCACTAATGTTAAAGCAAGCTTTAATTTTAGCTTCCTGGAAACTTCCAAGTGTAACTAGAAAGCTGTATTACAGAAAGTAAGGGGAAAAAACATAAAGAATAATTGTCC